ATTAAAATATGTATATTAATCTATGTGGTATTTTTATTTATTTATATAACATAATTATAATATATATTATTGACACATTATCAAAAAAATTAAAAAACAATGTCACATGAAATTATTTAACTATCACATCATACTTAACTGACGAAATGACCAAAACTGTGCAATTTTTAGAGTTAAAGGATCAAAAAAATATAAAAAATTGTTAAAAGACCAAAAATATGCATTTCATAAAATTAAGAGACTAAATTTAGCATTTAACCTTTGAAATTTTGCTCTCCTAATTCAATAGTCTAGCTCTAATGCTCTATCATATCTTCTGTGACCTTTCCACGGAGAAAATAATGTCCACCTATTTAAAATACCAAAACTGCCAACCATAATTACAAAATTGGTTAAGGTCCCATCATTTCTGTATGCGTGATTGTCATATCAATAATTACAAATCATTCAACTGGTGCATTCTGGCTTTTCTCTCAGTGACATGATATATGTTTCAAATTATAAGGCTTGAATATCGGCAGCCTCATGTGATATGTCAACAAACAACAACATTCCCTCCTCGAGCTTTTCTAATGTAGTTTCAAAGTCCTCGTCACTTCTCTCAATTCATAGTTAGTTTTATCTAAGAAAGAAAGATATTTTTTTACTCTCCATTTGTTGTTCCAGAAGAAGACAGACTTCGCACATGTAGCTTCTCCTTGTTTGTTCGGATGCATTGAATTTTTTATATTTATTAGCTTTTATTCATTATAATAGTAATCAAATTATTCTTATTTTCTTACATTTTTCATGGTAAAAAAAAAAATTACTGTTGAAACAACTCATAGACAGTTGCATAATAAAAGATTCTTTTCTAACATAGAAAGTTGTTTTTCCAGGAAAGAAAAGGAGGATTCTCTACCCATTAATAAGTATTTAACTTGAGTTGTAGGTAATGTTTGAATGGTAAACTTGAATTTTTATATTAGATATTTTGAATTTAAATTTTAAAATAAATAGAGAAATTTAAGAAAAAGATAATTATTTTATATTATATAATTTATTATTTGATATATTAAAAAAATATTCTTAATTTACTTCTTACCTAAACAGTAATGAGTTATGTTGCGTAAAATTTTTCCAAAAATGAATTGTCATTTCACTCTATCCAACTTGGAGATTAATTATACGTTTAACTTAAAGTAAATTGAATAAAGGGGAGGGG